TAATGAATATTCTAGGAAATTCCTGATTGCAACAGTGAGACTTCATTTGTATGGCATTGTCATTTTGTTGACTTTAATAATTTATCATCCTCTGAATATTCTGCTCTCAATCTTGTCGCAATGAGAGTCACTAATCGATCTTGCCATGTGCAAAACAGAAATTCTGGGTATTTGTCTCAAGAGAACAGTCAGAGAGAGAATGAAGGGGAAAAAAGACACAATATCATTGCATGTCCACCTCCCTCCCATCCAGCTGAGAGAATGGGACATTTTTACTCCATCCACACTGCTGATCTCAGGCTGCGTCTGCAGTTAAGTGAGCAACGACCATGAGTTTGCCACCTTTCTACTCACCTAGTCTATTTAAGAAGGGGTAAGTGTAAGAATAATGGAGTTCTGTGAGTGTATCATTACTACTGACAGCTGACAGATTAATTGTGAAGGTGTGAACGTGAGTGAGTGCAGTTAGTCTCGTTTAACCACTCAAACAGTCTTGCTCTACAAGGTGTAAAAATCGTTAAGTTTCAGTCAGCGAAGTGCGTGACAGTGTTTATCATCTGCTGTGGATCATGTTAGAAAGTAATCACAGATGGGTTATGCACATCTTGCATAACTTGTTTTTGTAGGATACAAAGTCAAGAGTTTACACTGTAGATGGTGTTATTTACATATTTGATTCATAAGTATGGTGAAGGTCTCTCTCTAGCTGTCCTCCCAAGTAAACTAGATTGAATTTTTTGACTTAATAAGCAGCAACTATTCACGGAATGCAAACTTGACAGACTGAAAATGTGTCATTCCACACATTCCCTAGTTATAATTATTGGTGTGTCCCTACGTATGCAAATGCTAACCAAGTTTACCAAGTATGGTTAGGTGTGCTTTGTGGGTTTTTAGTAAATCAAGTTTAACTTGTTGCATTAGGGGTTCAAGCATAAATAATTAGCGTTTCTGAACTAAACCTATAATATACAGTATACACTAAGACCGGTCTTAAAGTTTCCAAACTGTGTAGTAGCAGTGTAAAGGATTTGTTTATCGGAGCGAGTCTAGGACAGCTCCACCCTGGCCATGGTGACAGACGGAGACATACTGTACCATGGCACATCTGTGTTTACTGTGATGTGCAGGGTTTTTTTAGGAGTGGCAGCTGAATGAAGCATCTGCTTGCTCATCTCGCTGCATCACAACAATGCATTATTCCATTAACTATTAATGCATTATTTATCCAATCCCAAACAAGTTTTAAGTACATTCTAGTTCCACTGGAATGTAATGTATGCAGTTTTTTCTTTGTTCAAAAGGCTGGTTGTCCTCGTTTTGTCACGTCAAGCCACTAAAATGAATACTATTACCTTACAGTAAATCTGCAGAACAGGAAGGTTCTGTTGACACTTAATTATCTGCAGACCTTCAGCAAGATACATATTTCTTTAAATTAAGAGGGCACTTCATGGTCTTTCCCCCTTCATCTGTGGTACGATTATCATTTCATACAGTACAAACTGTACAAGCGCTTGCCAATTACCGTGACTACAGCTCACCAGGAGTTCAGCATCTGTCAAACGAGAAGACGTTAACTTCCTTCTGGGGTGTCCCTGTGAAATCTAATCTGGCAGCATGACTAACTCTGCATGAAATGGAAAGTGACAGCACTAGGGTCACTAATTTGTGCTTTTCTGTGAAATCTCATTAGGTGGATCAACTTTAAGCCGTCACCTTTTCAAAGGGCTTCACTGGGATCTAGACAAATTCTTACTCCACTCAGAAAAGATGATAGATTGTAGTGAAAGAGTTGATAATGTGCATATAGAATGCATTTTCATAACATTGCAGAAACTTTGTGTAACGTTGCTAGCACATGCCATCCCTAAAAGTATTTACCAATAACATAAAATAATATTGAGTGAAAGAAAGAGGGATAGAGAAATTTGAGATTCCAGTTTTGCTTGTTTTTTCATAATAATTAAGAATTTAAATAATGTCATATATTTAAGTAATAATCTATATATTTTAATGCCACCTTACCTAATGCATAACGTACACATACATACATTTTTGTGAGACTTTTTAAAAGTTGAAATAATTTGTAGTGAGGTAGAAGTGTATTCATTTTGTCTTGTTCCCATTAATTTTTTTTTCTATTCACAAAGCTGACATTTTTAAGGCTTTTTGTAAGCTGGGGATGTTACATTAAGGATTGGTTTTGTTATAATTGTATTTACATTTTCAGTCAGGTAAGTATACTAGAAGGATTCTAAATTTGATTCATTGTATGGTGTGTTTTCTATGCCTTAAAACGTTTTTATATCACTGGAGCATTGTAAAATTTGGTATGAGCTAAAATAAACTAACGGACCGTTTAACACTTAGATTGTTTACATTCTGTGCGAGCAAAATGTGCAAAAAATAGCTTATTGACTAATATCCAAGTGTTGAAGAATCAGGTGACTTCGATCCCAGCCTTCAGGTTGAGCACATCGGTCATAAACAGTTTGCCCAGTAGAGGCACTAAAGGCTGAAGCTAAACACTCTGGACCTACTGTGAGAAAATTCTATTGTTTAAACTCATTTCCAGTGTTGCCAACTTAGCAATTTTGTTGCTAAATTTAGCAACTTTTCAGACTACCCTAGCAACTTTTTCTTCCGAAAGCACCTAGCAACAAATTTAGCAATTTAAAAAAGTTATTTGGCAACTTTTAGCAACTTTTGATGAGGACTCAGACAATAAAAAGGCACACATTTTCCATCCAAATGACACAAAAAGATTAAACCACAGATGCCCAGCAGTACACACATCACGAGTATCGAGTTAGCTGATATTTGCAATTGTTCAATTTAATAATAATAATTGAATAATTTGATAATTGAATATTTGTTCATTTATGATACACTTTGTTAGTAGCTTGTACCTGCGATTGTTGATCAGTTAGTACACTAAGAAAAATGGAAAATCTTTCAGGACATTATCCATCATCCGTTGTAACTCTGTAACCCAAAAACACAATGCCTAATTCAAAATGCAGGTAAAAAAACCATTACAGAAAATTATTTATATTAACATAGTAGATTGTGCCTTATTTTTACAGACGTTTCTTAGAGTGTAGCATACTAACTAACTACTAACACACTGCTTAAAGCATAATTGTTGAGAATGTGTAGAATTACTAGTTTACTAGCTACTAAAAAAACTGAAATTGTAATCATTCAGAAACGTGTACGTTTTCAATAATTCAATGTATTTAAAAAAATACAGTTATTTATATTTTAATATTATATCATGCATATTATTTTAAAAACAAATCTAGTTTACTAGCTACTAAAAAAACTGAAATTGTAATCATTCAGAAACGTGTACGTTTTCAATAATTCAATGTATTTAAAAAAATACAGTTATTTATATTTTAATATTATATCATGCATATTATTTTAAATCTAAATTAACATGATGATGTGACAATTTGAGCAATGACATCACAACATCATTTAGCAACTTTTAGCAACAAATCGACCTTCCTTTAGTAACTCTCTCTGAAAATTAGTTGGCAACACTGCTCATTTCCCATCCGATTCCCAAACTGTCTTGTGTATGAGCTGTCAGCTGCACAACTGTAAACTTATGAAGACCTGGAGGCATAGATTGTGTAATTTTAGCCACTCTAATAAACTGATCACTGATTTTCACCATGTAACAAATTACTGAGGGTTATAGGTACATGTTGTTCCTCAGTGACACTAATGTTACCTGGACAACATTTTCATTTATTTATATTTAACTGTAAATTTAAAGTGCATATCCAAAACAACCATATCTTGTACACAATCTTATTTTTTAATATATTAAGTTTGCACACCTACAATATATAAATCATGCTCGATAGATGTAAATATTTGGTAATCCAGAGCCTATTTGCATAATTAACATGATTCACATTAAAAAATGCTAAATTTAAGTAGAAAATTAGAATCATGCATTCATTCCAATGACATCACAACATCATTTAGCAACTTTTAGCAACAAATCGACCTTCCTTTAGTAACTCTCTCTGAAAATTAGTTGGCAACACTGCTCATTTCCCATCCGATTCCCAAACTGTCTTGTGTATGAGCTGTCAGCTGCACAACTGTAAACTTATGAAGACCTGGAGGCATAGATTGTGTAATTTTAGCCACTCTAATAAACTGATCACTGATTTTCACCATGTAACAAATTACTGAGGGTTATAGGTACATGTTGTTCCTCAGTGACACTAATGTTACCTGGACAACACAAATGCATTCTGGTGGACTATCTATTTCACGAGGCTTGTCATAAATCGCCAAAACGTATCACTTATCAAAACATGATGCAACGGTCACTTGTTAATGTGTTTTGAAGGTCTGTCCTGCGGCTGGCTGCCGCTGCTGCATGCTCTTTGAGCGAGTTCAGTGAGAGGGCAGGAAGACAACCTATGCCACAAGCCTCATTTGAATAATATATGCACGCGTCATGCGACGTCACGCGCCGAGTATAAAAGCCCCGCTGCGGCAGAAATAGCATCACTAGCCGACAGTGTTTCTCCGAAACCGCTCCTAGTTCTTTCATAGTGCCCGGCTTCTCTGTTCTCTCTCGCAACAGAGCAACGAAGCAAAACAACCAGGATTTTAAACTCGTGTCCAAACAAGTCGCAAACGTGGCGAGAAGTATTATTCAGACGGGTCTTGTCCTCAACATGAGCACGGAGATGTTCAAAACGCCAATGGAGCTCGCAGTCTATCAGCTGCACAATTTCTCCATCTCCTTCTTCTCGTCCTTCCTAGGAGGGGATGTAGTATCAGTCAAACTAGACAACAGGTAGGCCGATTTTATGGGATTATAGGATGCATTTTTTAACAGTCGATAGGAATTACGGTATATCGCGGACTTCGCTCGGTTCACCGCGCTTCGATTATAAGAGCTTGTTTACTACTGCAGTGGTGCTGAGCTGCGTTCTAATACCTTGTTTCTTTGTCTTTTGCAGTGCCTCTGGCGCAAGCGTTGTGGCAATTGACAACAAGATCGAACAAGCAATGGTAAGTCGTTTTAACATCACCATCAGATCCCTACTAGAATGAGCTTACGACTGTAGAAGTGCAGTGGAAAGTATCTAGTTTCTGTGTAGGTTGTAACCAGAGCTGTGGCACGCTCTAGAGCTGCTGCATCTACCTTCATTGCCTGTGCTTTGTTGGCCCACCTGCAGTAAAAGTCAAAGGTCACCATACAACAATACATGCACCCTTTTGTTTAAACCATGTCTTTGTTTTACCCGGTTTCACCCCTCTAGTGACATCTGCAACCACATTTTTACCAAAGGTCTTAATGTATCGTTCATTAAAATGTATTAAATATTAATATATAGGTAACAATCAGATCAATAACTACCATGTTCAGTACAAATCATTTTTAAACGGTCATTTGTTAGTGTTTTAAGATTGCTCGTACAGTATATAAATCATGCTCACAATAGATGTAAACATTAGTTAATCCAGAGCCACACTTGAATAACTTGACCGTAGATTAGGATGTTGGAAAATGTAATTAAAATAAAGAGAAACATGCATTTATTTTTAGATTATGATTTTCATTTTAGTAAGTGTTTTTTAAACCCATTTAATCCTCCTAGTAAGTAACCATTTAGTACCATTTTCATTTATTTATATTTAACTGTAAATTTAAAGTGCATATCCAAAACAACCATATCTTGTACACAATCTTATTTTTTAATATATTAAGTTTGCACACCTACAATATATAAATCATGCTCGATAGATGTAAATATTTGGTAATCCAGAGCCTATTTGCATAATTAACATGATTCACATTAAAAAATGCTAAATTTAAGTAGAAAATTAGAATCATGCATTCATTCTTGAATTGATTCTCTTTCCCCCTCAAAAAAGGTAAAATTAATAATTAGAACATAATGTACAGTCAGCTGGTCAGTATTGTAAAACAGACCCTGATGGTGAGATCAGGACCCCTAAAAAATAACACGTAGTTTATTTCATTGGACTATTCAAGGAGTAAAATTTGGATGTTTGTTCACCTTAACCTCATTCTACTCAATTCATGCATTACAGTGTAAACAGATCAGTTGCATTGTACTTGATGTCTTGTTGTGATCATGGAAACTCAACTCTCTCTCATATTTTTTTCCTCACAGGATCTTGTGAAGAATCACTTAATGTATGCAGTCAGGGAGGAAGTTGAGATCTTGAAAGAGCAGATCAAGGAACTGGCAGAGAAGAACAACCAGTTGGAGCGTGAGAACAGCCTGCTGAAGAACCTGGCGAGCCCAGAGCAGCTGGAGAAGTTTCAGTCACGTTTGCCCTCAGACTCCAGCCTCCCCCTGGAGCCTCTGGAGCTGGGGTCCCCCGAGGACGGCGAGCTCCAGTACAACAGCACGGGATCTGCTGTATAAGTGGCTCTGCCATGGGGCGGGCAGAGCCACAGCTCTCACCTGAAATAGACCTCCAAATATGCAACTTCAAGATGAAGCTGGCTGTACAGATGAAAACCTGACCTGAAATGAAAGCATTGCGACAAGTGGCCTAGTTCAGTAATATCTGACAATCTCTTCGGACTAACGCGGAAAAGAGAGAGTGATGTAGATGTCCGAGGTTACTGTACAACGGGACTGACGTGCCCCTTGTTAGGAAGGGGGCCCAGCCTTGCTTTCCTTTGGTCCCTCTCACGAAGAGACGGAGAGGGGTTTGCCTGATGGAGCTGGCAGAGAGCGCATCTTTGGCCTATCCAAGTCAAGCCAAGGAAATGTATACGTCCCTGCGAGACGCCCCCACAGCTCCACCTGACGCAAGCTATACGGGACTCACTTCATGCCCTCCATTGATCCCTAGTGCTGTGGACATTTCTTAGCTCCCGTGGTTAAGGACGTTCGAGACGGACCTGTACGGAGCGCTGGTCCTCTCGTCCACAGTGGTGACTCCTGCCATATGATTTGTATAGCATCGCTTGTATCTCTGCAGATGGGGCCTGCTGCTTATGGGGATTATTGCTTGTTTGTGTTGTGAAACGGAACAAAATCAACTTGTTTATATGGGCTATGTGTAAAAAATGATGTTTTTCTTATTGTGGGAATGAAAATCTGTATACATTTGCATAGTTCTGTAAATCAGCGACTGATGTAAAGAGAAATGTTCTGAAACGGAGGCTGCGAATGTTCTGCTGACATGTCGAACATCTGTTCTGTTGACCTTCTATGCCAACCAACTACCAGGCACAACGGTGTCTGAAGAGGGCCACATGTTTTCGAATGAACTTTGTATTTTCTAACTACCAAAGACTTGCCTAATACTCACAAGCCAACAGGACCATGTGGAACTTTTCACAGGGAGAAGTTTTTTTTTTTTGACCGCAGTCTTTTTGAAACATGGGTATTGTTGCCTCATTGTGTCCAATTTTTATTTTTTATTTTTTTTTTACAAATTATGGATGCAAAATGCACATTGCAATAAACCTTATGTTTACACTAAATATGACGCACGGGTCTTTTCTTTTTCTTCATGTAGGACAAGGACATTTCTCCAGTTTTAGATTGAAATGGTAGCTCACATGAATACATATGACCTCTAACATTTTAGATAAGATAAAAATTCCAACTTTAAATGTTAATTATGAAGTTGGCACGATTGGCCTTTAATATAGGTTTGATACCAGGAGTAAAGTTCATGCATTTTTATATAATAAAAATAAGGTACAGTTTGCCAGGCAAAATAGGCCCCGCTGATGAGAACAGCACCCCTAACAAATGGCATGCAGTTTATTTCACTGGGCTATAGAAGGAGTAAAATACAAGTGCTCAATTAGATGGGCAAAAATTGATTTAATGCAGTTCATGGCAGCCTCATTCTACTGAATGCATGCATTTTTCTATAATTAACTTAAGTAGAACATAATGTATACTTAGCCAGGCAAAATAAGCCCCAACGGTGAGAAGTTTATTTATGCAGTTCTCAGCCTCATTCCACTGAATTCATGCATTACAGTGCAAACAGTGCAAATATTCATAAAAATTCCAATTTAGATGTAAAATTGGCATAATCTTCATTGGCTTTAATATGGGATTTTAATAAAGTGTTTGATATCAGGTGTAAAGTCCATGACGATAAGGCCTTCACGATGCAATTATTTAGCCCAATATTGTCCCCTTAGCATGCATGGTAGTTTATGATTGACATTTACTATTCAAATATACAGTGGCATCTCTCACTGCTCACATTTTATTACATGCAATGAAATCTCTTTATAGGAATAATCAAATTCTTTTAGGTAATTACATATATATAAAGATACAGTAAATGTCATTGACTTCAGTGAGCTCTGCATCATGTGCATGATTAAAAACTATACATAGTTTGATCTTTCCACTGAATTGTAAATTGTTTTAAATATACGTGGAGACAGGGTTTAATAGATCTAGAGGTAATTTCATAATGGCTACTGTGCTGTAGTAATCCAGAAGGCTTTGAGAAAACAGAGCTGGCATGTGAAACCCTCATCTTTCTCTCCTTAGGAAAGCCAGGCTCAGTGTAACTCAAGCCTCTGAGAGGTCCCTGGGGTAAAACTTCTACTTAAGACCCAGATTTCAGTATTTCTGCAGAAGTTCCGATAAGGTAAACAGTAATAAAGTAGATTCAAAGGATATGCAGATCTAGCGAGTTGCGTCCACTGGGTCCTATCGCAAATGGGTGGAGGCTTAAAAGGAAATGACTTCTGAAAATATCAGAATCCAAATGCGCTCATATCTGAGGTTTCATTAATGTTTTATTGCCACTAATAAAAGCAAGATCTACATGCCATCAAACTAAAATCCCTTGACTTGTACTGAACATCTATATAGCACAAAGGCAGACAATTTGATTCCAAAGTGAATAGACAAACCACACATTAAATATAAATTAATAACTATTTGTGAAGTTTGTGAATATGAAGGTTCATACTTTAAGAATGTTATTTCATTGGGTAATAATGCATCTGTCTTTTGGCAAATAACTAAACCAATGAACTATAATAATAAAAATAGTAATTTATGTGGTATATTTGACTGGGCTAAACAACCATGGACACTGACATAGACAAATGAATAAATATTAGTAAAGTTTACATCAATGTGAAGACTCATGCTTTGATGTTATTTCATTCTGTAATAGTCAATTTAAGTGTCTTTTCGTATATAACTAAGCAACAAATAAAATGAAATAAAATGAAATTAAATAAATGACTGGGTCAAAACAACCTGGTGTAAAACCTGTTCAATGGAATTCACTGGTGATTTGGCATTTGCTCTTCTTCCCAAAACAGCTGCAAGACCTCTGCTCTTATGCAACTCCCAAACATCTGTTTCAGTTTGGTGTAGTGGGCGGCTTTCTATGTCAAGGCCTGGTGAAATGTAGCCGGCTTTGCATGCGAGCGAGTTACAGTGCACTGAGAATTGTACTTGTTTGTCCTCTCATGTAAATATAGGCTCACAGTAGGCTGTTTGTGCCATTTTTCAGCAGAGTGACATTATTTCCTACGCCTCAGATCTAATACCCTGTTGTGGAAAGTTATTGAGTGTGATCCGCCGTGTAAACGTTGTTACCTCATTCTCACGTTATACAAACAGCCTCCCTCTCGCTCCCAGGTGCATCCTGTAGAGACAGAATCAAACGTGACAGATGTTTACTTCGGGAATTTTTTTTGTCGATCCTTTAGAAGAAAGTTGACAGTATAAATAGACAAAGTCATAATGAGCTGAAAGTGTTTACGGTATATAACTAAGCAACAAATAAAATGAAATAAAATGAAATTAAATAAATGACTGGGTCAAAACAACCTGGTGTAAAACCTGTTCAATGGAATTCACTGGTGATTTGGCATTTGCTCAAACAGCTGCAAGACCTCTGCTCTTATGCAACTCCCAAACATCTGTTTCAGTTTGGTGTAGTGGGCGGCTTTCTATGTCAAGGCCTGGTGAAATGTAACCGGCTTTGCATGCGAGCGAGTTACAGTGCACTGAGAATTGTACTTGTTTGTCCTCTCATGTAAATATAGGCTCACAGTAGGCTGTTTGTGCCATTTTTCAGCAGAGTGACATTATTTCCTACGCCTCAGATCTAATACCCTGTTGTGGAAAGTTATTGAGTGTGATCCGCCGTGTAAACGTTGTTACCTCATTCTCACGTTATACAAACAGCCTCCCTCTCGCTCCCAGGTGCATCCTGTAGAGACAGAATCAAACGTGACAGATGTTTACTTCGGGAATTTTTTTTGTCGATCCTTTAGAAGAAAGTTGACAGTATAAATAGACAAAGTCATAATGAGCTGAAAGTGTTTACTACTTTTATGGAGTGCACCGACTGGTGTTCAGCTCCCAAATAAACTAATTAAAAATATTACTTTAAATTAAATCACAGCATCCAAAGTCCAATCCAAATGAATACATAAAAGAGTTACTATAAACTATATGATTCATATAAAAAAGGCTATATAAAAATGCATTTGAAAATCATTAATATCCTCCCTTACAATGGAATACAAGAATCATTGTATAAGGTTTCTAGGGCAGTGCTAGGCATATGGTCAAGCTGCTTCTGACATACAAGGCAAACAAATGCATGACCCATTGTTCAACTAGGGTTGCATGTAAGTCATAACCACAGACATGTAAAAAATTTCCATTGTACAATTACAAACCACATTTTCAGATTCTTTGTGATGTGACAGCAAGATTTACGTTTGTGTATGTACTGACTCATGAACTTTTGTAGTCAGTATGCATATAATATCTCATATATTGAATCTTTCTCCAATTATTTGGGGTGTTTCATCTCAGTATTTACCCTAGCCGGCCTAACCCAAATAATTTTGATCTCAAGTGTCTTATGATTTAATATCGACCTGTCATATTTCAAATATAATCTTTTGAATGGTCTCACTGTTTTGCAAAAGCAGTAAACAGTGAATAGTTGGAGACTAATGAGTTTAATTTGTCTCCAAGAATAATATACGACAAAGTTCTGTTTATTCCCATAAACATACACAGCTATCTATCAAGACAGAGCATTTTGTGTTCACAAGACCAATGGTCTGTTTATTTGAGGTAAGCCACTACGCTCTTGTTTTTACACGGGTGTGGGAATGTGATAAGTTTACCGCACTCCACCTATAGAAAGAGGATTTGGAAAGCAACACTAGTTACTTTCACACGACCATAAAAGGATGTTGCCTCACAAACATAACTGGGTGGTAGTTCCTCCCTAAAAGCTGTACTAATCCCAGGGCTGGTGCAAGAGGTCAAATATACCAAGCAGAAGTTGCCCAATGACTCTTGCCCTTCACGGGTGATTGGCTTGAGCACGCAAAACATATGTTTGCTAGTTCCTCAGCTTGATGAGTTGTAAATGATAAGTGTGTAAAAATAGCAAGAAAGATCCTGCAACTTTATCTGAGTGGCTTTTATTAAGCTCTCCTCAAAAAGAGACCCTTTGTAAGCGGCTGAAGGGAAGGTGCTCTTATTTAACAGTGCTGGAATTCTTCCTAGACACATGAGATCGGAGAAGAACTGTGTCCGTCTTTCCCCAGGGGTTTGGAAAACACTGTGAATCGCTGTCTGTGTGAGAGGTTTGCTCCTCTGTGGTACCAGCCTCGCAAGGAATGTGCCTGGAACATCTTATTCTGACCAAGTGGGGCAGAACAAAGGCCACCAGCATGAGGCTGAGGATTTCAGAGGAAAGCCTTGAATTCAGAGTCCTACCATGGGACAAGCACAGCTTGTTTTCTAGCACTGACATGTGTCATGGGGGAAATTGAGGCATCCTTATTACATAACCTGAATTTTTCCTGATGAGCCTTGAGTACTTCGAAATTGTTGGGCTTCTGAGACTTGTTTTTTTTATTTGACTAAAGATATTATGTATTACGACATGACAACTTCCAATTAACTCCTCGGATAAACTGCTCAGGAGTGGGTGATATGAGAAATTTTTAACCCTGTTGTTTATATGCATAACCATTTCAGTCATACACATCACCAAACAGTAATTAAGCTTGTCACGACACTTCATAACTCCTAATATCACCTACATCAACTTATACAACTATATCTATTTTTACCCAGGTACATGCAGTATACCTGGTTAAGCAGTATGTACTATATAGCAAATATTAACTGCTTGATTGTTATATAATCGCAAAATGTAAACTATTGCACAGCTCTATATATAAAGTTGTATATACATCCACTTACAGTAGCAAACCTCAACTCCCTGATTTTTTTTCTTCGCAAAATGTAACTATATTATCCTCCATCTCTTTATATAAAGTTGGATATTTACTCGTGTGGGGTGATGTAACTATGATATGTAACTATAATATTGGCCAGCTTTAATCTGCTGAATAGCACTATAAGGAATGAAGATATTAAGATATTATAAACATTAACATCAGAATTTTCTGTA